GTGGAGCGCAGTAACTTCAGCTGAATCTCTTAATTAGAAGAAAGCACCTCCAGAACTTCCAGGTCTTCTTCAGGTGATCCGGTTCTGCTCTGCTGATCAGAACCTTCTCCTGTCTGGAGAACTTTGTTCTCTGCTGATGTTCATGTGGATCTTTGTGATGCTGTCTAGGCCTCCCCAGCAGCCCCAGTGAAAACGCATCACTGGCAGCTCAGGCTGTGATTGGCCGAGTCCTGGAGGCGCCGCTGTCAGAAGACGCTCGTGTCGGAGCGCTCAGTGTCACCATGACGGCTTTCATGGAGGCCTGGATGGAGCACATCCTACGGCAGAAGATCAAATTCAGGTTTGTTTTCAGCCATGGAGAAACCGTGTTCCTTCATGTTCCCACAGTGAGAAAGGAGAGCCGATAGACGTGCTGCCCTCTGGAGGCCTGGAGGAAATAGAACACAGAGCTGATCTGTTCATTAATAAAACTCAAAATGGTTCAGATGGACAAACTTTTCTTCTAAGTCACCTGGTCGTTTAGAAACCACAGAGCCTCCACCCACACTGGGGCAGAGGAAGGAACACAGTCATACCACAGAAGAAGAAATCTTACAGGTTCTGTCTCTCTCTTGTCTGAAGTATGTTTTTGTTGTTCCTCTTTTAGTGTCCAGGGGGCGCTGCAGCTAAAGGAGGACTTTGATTCAATCAGAGAGATGATCAAGTCTGACAAGTACGGCCTGTCGGCCGACCTCGTCCAGAGACTCCTCGCTCTCAGGTAGCCCCGCCCCTCTGTCCCCACTCTGCTTCAGCCTTTTAAGGAGAAACCACTTTAGTTTATTTCTAGAATCAGAATCAGGTTTATTGATTCAACTCCTCAAGGTGTAAACCGTGAGACCAAGTTGGACTTGGTGTTGATGGTGCAGACAGCTACAGCACCAATTCTCATCATCTCAGGTCACTTTATAGATCCAGATCATCCAGTCAGATTGATTCAAAGTTTTCTATCTAAGGAAGACCAGCTGATTGCATCGACTCATTGACTCTTCAGCAATCCCTCACACTAAGCATGCTTGTAGCGACAGTGGAGAGGAAAAACTCCCTTTGAACAGGAAGAAACCTCCAAATAACAGAGCAGTGTTTGATCAGCGTCATTAGAGGAGCCCTGCCCGCCTGCCTGAGGCCCCCACGGAACTTTACAGCATTACTGGGAGCTGATTGGTGGAGAGGTGATGAA